TTAAGCAAATATGACGAAATTATTTGTTTGGTACTATATCATTAGTGACAAAATTGTTCATCATGTTGTTTGAAAACCAATAGCGGCATTTTTTTTCGTCGCTAATAATATTTAAATTTTTTAAAAATGAGGGTAATATTTTTCAATTTAAAATTTTTCTTTTCATCAAAAATTCCCTGTGCATTTCAATAACCTGTTCAATAAAATATCTATTACGCATCAATACAAAAATTTGTTCATTTTCATAAACACCACAGTCGAATTTCAACACAATATCCACAAAAAATACAATATCAACTGCATGCGAATTACCAAACATGTCTCCTAATATCCACAAAAAAACATGTCTACTAATATCTACAAAAATACAATATCAACCGCATGTGGATTACCAAACACGTCTCCTAATATCCACAAAAAACATGTCTACTAATATCCACAAAAATATAATACCAAGTGCGGATTACCAAACATGTCCTGTAATACCCACAAAAAATATAAAATTTACAACGCAACCAAAATACATGTAAGGTAATATGAACAAAAACACAAAATGAGCTAGCTTCTGCTCTCCAGATTACCAAACATGTCCATATCTAATCTCGAATCTGCAACAAAACAAAACACAAAAAAAAAAAAAAAATGCAAATTAAACAATCATTATCTTATCAATTAAATATACAATTTAACATGCATTTTTCGACTTAGTTTTCAAATCTGGAGTCCCGTGCTAGTTCCGTAAGTTTGCACAACTTACATTGGTCTCTCCCGACATGTTTAAGGTGTTCCCGGGCTTTCTCGTGCCTGTTACACTATTTTGGCTCCCGATGGCCTATTTACAAGCTTAAATGTTGGGAAAATACATTTTTCGACTTAGTTTTCAAACCGGGAGTCTCATGCTAGTTCTGTAAGTTTACACAAGTTTCAATGGTCGCTTCCGAGGTGTTTGAGGTATTCCTCGGGCCTTCTCGTGGTTGTTTAATGATTTTGGCTCTCGATGGCCTATTATCAAGCTCAAGTGTTGGAAAAGTGCATTTTTTGACTTACTTTTCAAACCGGGAGTCCCGTGCTAGTTCCATAAGTTTCCACAACTTACATTGGTCCCTCCCGAAGTGTTTGAGGTGTTCTCTGGGCTTTCTCGTGGCTATTACACGATTTTGACCCCCCGATGGCCTATTTTCAAGTTTAAGTGTTGGAAAAATACATTTTTAGATTTAGTTTTTAAACCGGGGGTCCCATACTAGTTCTGTAAGTTTACACAAGTTACAATGGTTGCTTCCGAGGTGTTTGAGGTGTTTCCAGGTGGTTGTTTCGCGATTTCGACCCTTTATGGCCTATTTTCAAGCTTAAGAGTTGCAAAAATGCCTTTTTTTGACTTAGTTTTCAAACCGGGTGTCCCGTGCTAGTTCTGTAAGTTTTGACAACTTACATTGGTCCCTCCCAAGGTTTTTGAGGTGTTCCCCAGGCCTTCCCATGCCTGTTACACGATTTTGGCCCCCGATGGCCTATTTATGAGCTTAAGTGTTGGAAAAATGCATTTTTCGACTTAGTTTTCAAACCAGGAGTCCCGTGCTAGTTCCATAAGTTTATACAAGTTACAATGGTCACTTTCAAGGTGTTTGAGATGTTGCCCGAGCCTTCTTGTGGTTGTTTAATGATTTTGGCCCCCAATGGCCTATTTTCAAGCTTAAGTGTTGGAAAAGTGCATTTTTTGACTTACTTTTCAAACCGGGAGTCCCATGCTAGTTCTGTAAGTTTCCACAACTTACATTGGTCCCTCTCGAAGTGTTTAAGGTGTTCTCCAGTCTTTCTCATGGTTGTTACACAATTTTGGCCACCGATGGCCTATTTTCAAGCTTAAGTGTTGGAAAAATGCATTTTTAGATTTAGTTTTCAAACTGGGAGTCCCATGCTAGTTCTGTAAGTTTACACAAGTTACAATGGTCCCTTTCGAGGTATTTGAGATGTTTCCCGGTCCTTCTCGTGATTGTTTCATGATTTTGGCCCTCGATGGCCTATTTTCATGCTTAAGAGTTGGAAAAGTGCCTTTTTTGACTTAGTTTTCAAACTGGGAGTCCCGTGTTAGTTCTGTAAGTTTTCACAACTTACATTGGTCCTTCTTAAGGTGTCCGAGGTATTCTCCAGGCCTTCTAGTTGCTGTTACACAATTTTGGCCCCGATGACCTATTTTCAAGCTTAAGTGTTGGAAAAATGCATTTTTCGACTAAGTTTTCAAAGCGGGAGCCCCGTGCTAGTTTCGTAAGTTTACACAAGTTACAATGGTCCCTTCCGGGGTGTTGAAGGTGTTCCCTAGGCCTTCTCATGGCTTTTACACGATTTTAGCCCCTGATGGCCTATTTTCAAACTGAAGTGTTGGAAAAGTACATTTTTTTGACATAGTTTTCAAACTGGGAGTCCCGTGCTAGTTTTGTAAGTTTCTATAACTTACATTGGTCACAACCAAGGTGTTTAGGTGTTCCTCAGGCCTTCTCATGCCTGTTACGCGATTTTGGCCCCCGATGGCTTATTTTCAAGCTTAAGTGTGAGAAAAGTGCATTTTGCGACTTAGTTTTCAAACTGGGAGTCCCGTGCTAGTTCTGTAAGTTTTCACAACTTACATTGGTCCCTCTCGAGGTGTTTGAGGTGTTCCCTGGGCCTTCTCATGACTGTTACACGATTTTGGCCCCCGATAGCCTATTTTCAAGCTTAAGTGTTAGAAAAGTTTATTCTTCGACGTAGTTTTCAAACCAGTAGTCCTGTGCTAGTTTCGTAAATTTCCATAACTTAAATTGGTCCCTTCCGAAGTGTTTAAGGTGTTCCCTGGGCCTTCTCGTGACTGTTACACGATTTTGGACCCCGACGGCCTATTTTCAAGCTTAAGTGTGAGAAAAGTGTATTTTGCGACTTAGTTTTCAAGCCGGGAGCCCCGTGCTAATTCCGTAAGTATCAACAACTTACATTGGTTCCTCCCGAAGTGTTTAAGGTGTTCTCTGGGCCTTCCAGTGCCTGTTACACAATTTTAGCCTCCGATGGCCTATTTTCAAGCTTAAGTGTGAAAAAAGTGCATTTTTCGACTTAGTTTTCAAACCAGGAGTCCCGTGCTAGTTCCGTAAGTTTTCACAACTTACATTGGTCCTCCTGAGGTGTTTAAGGTGTTCCCTAGGCCATTTCGCGACTGTTACACAATTTTGGCCCCCAGATGGACTATTTTCAAGCTTAAGTGTGAGAAAAGTGCATTTTTTGACTTAGTTTTAAAACCGGGAGTCCCGTGATAGCTCCGTAAGTTCCCACAACGTACATTGGTCCCTCCCGAAGTGGTTGAGGTGTTCTCTGGGCCTTCTATTGAGTGTTACACGATTTTGGCCCCCAATGGCCTATTTTCAAGCTTATGTGTTGAAAAAGTGCATTTTTTTGACTTAGTTTTCAAACCGGGAGTCCCGTGCTAGTTCCGCAAGTTTCAAAAACTTACATTTGTCTCTCCCGAGGTGTTTGAGGTGTTCGCCGGGCTTCTCGTGACTGTTACACGATTTTGGCCCCCGATCACTTATTTTCATGCGTAAGTGTTAGAAAAGTGTATTTTGTGACTTAGTTTTCAATCTGGGAGTCCTACGCTAGTTCTGTAAGTTTCAACAACTTACATTGGTTCCTCCTGAGGTGTTTGAGGTGTTCCTTGGGCCTTCCTGTGGCTGTTACATGATTTTGGCCCCCTATGGCCTATTTTCAAGCTTAAATGTGAGAAAAGTACATTTTTCGACTTAGTTTTCAAACCGGGAGTCTCGTGCTAGTTCCGTAAGTTTCCATAACTAACATTGGTCCCTTCTGAGGTGTTTGAGGTATTCCCCAAGTCTTCTCATGACTGTTATACGATTTTGACCCCCGACGGCCTATTTTCAAGCTTAAGTGTCTAAAAAGTGTATTTTTCAACTTAGTTTTAAAACCGGGAGTCCCATGCTTGTTCCGTAAGTTTCCAAAACTTACATTGGTCTCTCCCGAAGTGTTTGAGGTGTTCCTCAGGCCCTCTCATTACTGTTACGTGATTTTGGCCCCCGATGGCCTATTTTCAAGCTTAAGTGTTAGAAAAATGCATTTTTTGACTTAGTTTTCAAACCAGGAGTTCCGTGCTAGTTCCGTAAGTTTCCACAACTTACATTGGTTTCTCTTGAAGTGTTTGAGTTATTCCCCTGGCCTTCTCGTGACTGTTACACGATTTTAGCTCCCGATGACTTATTTTCAAGCTTCCGTGTTAGAAAAGTGCATTTTTCGACTTAGTTTTCAACCTGGGAGTCCCGTGCTAGTTACATAATTTTTAACAATTTACATTGGTCCCTTCTGAGGTGTTTGAGGTGTTCCCCGGGGCTTCTCATGACTATTACACAATTTTAGCCCCCGATGGCCTATTGTCATGCCTAAGTGTTGGAAAAGTACATTTTTTGACTTAGTTTCGTGCCTAAGTGTTGGAATAGTGCAAATTTCAAAGTAGTTTTCAAATCGGGAGCCACATGCTTGTTTCGTAAGTTTACACAACTTATGTTACTCCGTCTCAAGGTATTTGTGATGTTTACCGGGCCTTTACATGCATATTTTACTATTTTCCCGGGACCTTTCGTGCCTAAATATCAAAGTAGTTTTTATTCTACCCTAGTTGAAAAAGAAATTTTCTACTAAATTAACATAGAAACATAATATACTAACCAATAAGTGAAAGGTAGAAGATTTTTGAAAGCAAGGTTAAGACGATTGCCAAAAATAGATACACTTTCCTGGTTAAAACTAGTAAGATTTAGTGAAAGCTTCCCCACTGCAAGTGTGTCAAACTTGGCATGCACTTGTTATAAAGAAACTTGTTACTTGTGTCAAAAAATGTGCAAAGACAATAAATCCAACACAACAAATTCGAGATCAAATGTTTTGGAATAAGAAATGCTCTAATAGAACTATAAAAAGGTATAATATCAGATGTATGGGCTTCATAGAACACATTATATAAAATTATAAGAACGGTGACTATGAGGACAAGCCTTGTACCCTGGACAAAAGATGCAACAACATGAAATGAGCTGCCATGCCATCATTTCCAAGAACAACTATAAGATGTCCAAGAAGAGTCTCCCTTATCCCTTTCACAAAATTGGATTTTGGCTGTAGTATCAAAATGTAGAGGGTTCATTGAATAACATGGTGAACTAAGCAAGAAAATAAAGCACATAAAAAAAATAAATAAATAAACTTGGCAGATTACAAATCAATAATATCAATTACATAGACATAAAGAAGGTAAATTCAACGACCTCCATTATGGGGGAACTAGAAAGAAAATCATGAACTGCAAGCTTCTGATGTATAAGACAATGAAGGTGTGGCATCTGTAAAGAAAACTAGTTACAACATAACCTATATCAGTGCAAAAGAAAATATTTAGAGTTGAAAGGCGATAGTGAAAATACACAACCAATTTAGTAACAGCAAGACATAAATTGGTAAATGAAAATCTTATATTATGCAAATGATGAATATACGAAGCAAAGAAAAAATATGCAACAGCAACATAAGTGTTGCACTAATGATTTAAATCTAAACTTAATTTATAATTTTTATCCAATGCATGATCTGACTTGATAGAAATTTAATTATCTTATATATCTTGAGAATCCTAATTACATTCCTCACCCCTAACTCATTATTTTAGCTTAAACCAAAACTTGATACTTCGAGAGATATGGTGAACTGTAGTTTTCATAAATCCTCTAAACTAAGAGAGCATGAATCAGTTGGAAAATTCAGATTTTAAAGGATTTGTAGCTAACCTCAAGTCATAGAGATTGAAACTCTGTCAAGTTAATTACTCTGTGATTATGACTCCATACTCCATTTAATTTATAGTCCTTTCTTCTCAAACTAATGGTTTAATTCCAATCCAACTGCATTATAATACCAAACATACCATCCTAATGGCATAATCATACACCACTAACAAACACATGTCAAAAGTTTGATTGAGAGAGTTGCTAGATTTACCAGTCAAGTGGAACAATCTTCAATAATGACAATAGGGAAAAAAAACAGGTGGTTCACTTAGATATATCACTCCATTAAATCTGTTAAAATATTACAAATTTAATATTGAGTTGGTCGGCTTTTTATAACATTATGTTGATCATTAAAACTATCAAGTTGCTCCATAAATCTAAAAAGAATCTCATCTCGGTGGTTTTCAGGAAATATCCCTCCAAAAAATATATGTATATATGTTCTAGAATGCATAGACATGTTTAGAACTTGCTATAAACAATAGGATCTTTTGATAAGGCAGAGTAACAGTGCAGCCACAGGCAGAGCAGCAACAGCCACAGCAGCCAGCTGCAACCAAGGCCACTATAGTCAGCTATAGCCAAGGCCACAGTCCACAGACAGATCAGCAACAGCAGCCATCTGCCAAGATCATAGTCCACAGACAGAGCAGCTAATACTACAGTAGCTGTAGCATCACTAATATATCAAATTTAGGTACTTTTTCTTTCAAAGTGGAAATGGTCTGAATGGTTCTGAACTCCTAAATGACTGAAAACCTTACATCTTATGAGAACAAACTCATGAAACCTAGAGATTCATATCTTTTTAGAAACTGATTTATATTGATTTCCTTGTTGAGAAACCAAATTGTGGATATTTTTATTTTTTCAAAAAAGGCATACCCATTAGAAATATAATGAATCAATTATGTCTCACATGGATCGACAGTAATTGTTCCAAGTTATATGAATCATATCGAGACCCAAAGATGTTTTTAACTAAAGATGAAATATAGCATTTTAAGTTAGTGACATATTGGTTAAGCTCCAAACATTGTATACAACATACATACATATAAATACCTCTAAGTGAAGGGGGAGGGGGGTGCAGCTCATGAGACTCAAATCACCAGGCTAAGCCCTGCAATTGAGAAGACCTTTCAATCATGGGAATTTTTTTCTAATTTAATAAAATAATAGTAGTCCAAAAGCATAAAGTAGGCAACAAATTAATCAGCATTTTAGTGGGTCATGCAAGAGTTCTTAACTAAGTTAAGAAACTAAGTACTAAAATTCAAATGAAAATGAGGTACTAAGCATTATCCTCTGCTCTTGGGAATCAATTAATTGACTCAATGTAGAACGAGATTGAAACAAACCCAAAATCACAAGAATTCCCCTAAAAAAACATCGAATTTAGAGCAAAATTGAAGTCATCAAGGTATCTTTTGAGCTTCTTCACAAAAAATAAGCAAACAATAATTCAATGGAAGCTGCATAAATGGCCAAATTTCACAACCCCAATACACAATCTTCTTTGCTCGACACAAATTCAGTCCTTAGGCCTATTTTCCAGAGGTAAGATGGGATTAACATGAACAAATAAGCAAAGCCACTAAAAAGCAAAGCAAACCCAGAATTGGTAATACAACACCAACCAAACATTTGGCTTTCACATGCCCTTAATAGCACAAATCAACCCAACAAAAAGAAAATCAAGACATGTGAATCCAAAAGAACAGTTATAAAACCCTAATTAAAATTAGAAAACACATATATAACAGAGAATGAAATTCGAGTATCAAATCAGAAATTCAGAAAGGGTTTGTACTTGTGGAGAGACTGGTTGAAACAGAAAAAATCTAGAGAGAGAAAGAGAGAGGTGAGGGAAAGCACGGGGCGTGTTTGGGAATTTTAAAGAGGAAATTCAAAAATGGAGTGAATGTGAAAGAGAGAGAGAGAGAGAGAGAGAGAGAGATAGAGATGGAGGAAGGAATCTGAACATACCTCAAGAATGGAATCGTCAATCGTCGTTGCCGCCAAACTAGTCTCACCGCGAATGGAGAGCACCGTTCCAAGTCGAAGTTCTGCGCCGCATGAACCAGTCTTTCCTTTGAACCCTCTCTCTTCTCCCTCTCTTCTACTAGGTTTTGCAGCTTACAAATTTCTATGTTCAGAAGCCAAAGTGCTTTATTAAAAAATTAGTAGCCTGTTTTTCATTGCGCCTAATTTTTGAAATTGGTGACAAAATTATTTTCTCAACACGAAAATATTTTTCTCACTAAATGATATTAAACTGTTAAAAATTATTGGTGACGAAAATATTTTTGTCACTAACAATTTTATAATTGGTGACCAATTTTTTGCTCGCCAAAAGTCTTAAAATTTTGGCGCCATCCAAAAAAATTAGCGAGAAAATCTTTGGTGACAAAAAAAATCAAAATAATGACGAAAAATAATTTTGTCACCTAATTTTTTTTGTTATGTATGTAGATTGGTGACGAAATTTTATTTTTCTCTCTAAAAATTGTACATTTGGAGACGAAATATTATTTTCTTCACTGAAAGGTACGTCTTTCGTGACAAAATTTACTTTTGTCATTAGTTTTCGTCTCTAAAGACTCTTTTTGTTGGTCGTGCCTCAATTTCATGCCAAATTATGTTCTGTGCTCTGAAGTGAAAACAGTGCAGACAAAGTGTTTTGGACTCTGTTTGTCCCTTTTACACTTCTCTGTCGTGAGAAAGCCTCGAGAGAAGGTTGGAATCGTTTCCAAAACCATCAATGAGCAAGTTGATTGCTTGATGATTTTGGGTACAATTTGGACAAAAATCAATAAATAAAAGGCATTGGACAAAAATCATGGAGTGAACTCAAAGAGGGAGGTAGAGACACTTCAAAGTTCATCCAAAACATCGTGAATTGATGTTAGACGACCCTTGATACAATGGATTCGGCATAACGTTCGGCCAAACCCCAAGCAATATAACTCATTTTCTTTATGTGAGTTGGTTCATTTTAAGCCAAATTCACAAGTCTTTACCATCCTTTAATCCATTAAGTCCAAGATGATCGTTATGTCCACTAAGTGAGAAATATGTCAATCGAGAGGTGATTCTCAACGTGAAAAAAGAGACTACATTGTTGGCAATGAACCTCCGTAGAAATTAAGGCATTAAGCGTAAATCGTTAGTTCACATTTTGAACAACCGTCAACCGATTGAAAAAACTGTCAAGGAAAGAGGTGAATGGCAAGTTGATTATTAAAATGAGGTTCTTAAACATGAAAATGAGTTGAAGAAAAGCTTAGAACAATACACAACAAGCTATGTAGGCAAACTTATGAGACAACGAACAAGCTAATCAAAGAATGAACTATTTAAATAACTTAGAATAGCCCTAAAACAGACCTATACAGATAAAAAACAGTGGCTTAGAATGTATGAAAGAGCCTAAAAAGCTAAACATTAAAGAAAGAAAACAAGGCTAGTAAGCAAGAACAAGAAGAGATGGCTAACCCGTCCACTTTTGAAACCTTAAAACATGATTTTTAGCCTTTTTTAACTCTGAAAATCAGTGTAGAGAACAAAGAAAAAGAGTGTCAAAGTAAGGGTTTGAGCTATAGGTGAAGGTGTAGAAAGAGCAAGCTCTCTCTACCCTGAGTGTAAACTCTCTCTATCCTTTTGGTAACTCTCCAAACCCAAACTTAAACACTTAGAATAGCATCAAAGCAACATGAAACTACAAGAACTATATAGAAAATGAAAGAGATGAAGGCAAAAGAGAAGATAGCAAGCTTATACCTCTCAGGGAAGTAAGCTTTTGATTATGAACCAAGCTAAGTCTCAACACACTCCTAAGCTTGAATTATGGTGTTCAAGGCTCAACCAAGGTTCCTAAGCTAAGATGTGAAGGTGTATATGGTGTATGGATATAGGTTCAAGATTGTAGGTTAGTTCAAAGTGTTGCTTGCATAGAAGAAGGAGAAGAATGAGCTCTCAGGGTGGTATAGAGGCTTTCTTAAAATTCTTCAATCCTCAAAACAGAGATATAGAGTCATTTTTATAGAATTTGAGCCAGACATATCATAAATATCTTAAAAAATGGACAGTTGGCGGCCTCCCGCTCAGAATAGTGTTTCTCGCTACTAAGGCCCGACCAGCCCTCAATAGCCACAGCCGGGTCTCAATGCATTCTCCTATTTTCCTATTTCAGCCTCAGCATAGGGTGGCACAATGTGTAGAAATGGATTTCTTGGGTATAATTAATGGAAATATGGGAGGTTTGGTATATTTTTGGAGCTTAAACAAGGCTCCTTCGTCAAAACCTCGAACCACTCACAATACCACTTTCATTATCTAGTGTACCGGACAAAGCACTCAAGTCTTGCGGGTAGTCAAAAATGGGGTGTCCACTGGTTGTCCTCCTCAATCATCAAACGCACAATCAATTCCTTTAAAGTCATTTGTTTGCGCTTGTGTTTGAGGTAGTTCTTAAATTCCTTTAAGCCTTGTAGTAATTTTTCAATTAAGGCAGCAACTTGGAAGGATTCATTGAGAGACATGCCTTCTGCATGAATGTCATGCAGAATGAGTTGGAGATCTTAAACTTAGCTTATTACAGTCTTAGAATCAACCATTACAAAGTCTAGAAATTTGCCTACTATAAATTTCTTTGAGGCATCTTCTGTTTAATACTTTTTCTCCAAAGACTCCCAAAGTTCCTTTGTCGTCTTGATAGGGCTGGAGACATTGTACAATGCATTATCAAGCCCGTTCAAAATGTAGTTCTGGCAAAGGAAATTAGCATGTTTCCAGGCATCGACAGTAGCAATCACTTGTCGGTCGGTTTCATCCTCTTTCAGAGTAAGAGCATTCTCACGGAGGAAACACACCAAGTCGAGAGTAGTAAGATAGAATAGCATTTTCTGCTACCATCTTTAAAAATCAACCAAAAAAATGATGCATGATGTTGAACTCGCAAAACGGACAAATATCAAGTTATTGAGACTGAGCCTACAACTTCCCCGCCCCAGTCTGGGCTCCTACCTTACACTTAGAAAGGAAAAGCAGTGACCCAGGCTAAATGGATTGCCCTTGAACCGTGTCCACTACTCGGTTAGAATTCTTTTTAACTAAACAAATCATCAGTTTTCTGTCAAAAGTTGGCAGGCAAAATCGGCTCGGCAACTTCTTGGGAAGCAAAGTTAGATCAATAATTTCTTTGGCGAGAAAAATTAGCACAACTTCTTGGCGAGGAAAATTAGTTTAGCTTGGTGATTTACTTCTCAGCGAGCAAAATCGATTTGGCAACTTCCTTGGTGAGCAAATTAGCTCGGCAAGGAATTCCAAAGTTGGTGAGCAAAATCAGCTCGGTAACTTGCTGCTCAGTAAGGAATTTCAAAGTTGTCGAGCAAAATCTGCTCGGCGGCTTACATCTTGGTGAGCAAAATCAACTAAGTAAGACTTCTTGGCGAGCAAAATTTGCTCAACAAAAATTTTGAAGGTGATCAAAACCATCAACAAACCTCTTGTCGAGAAAAATCTGCTCAATAAGGAATTCCAAAGTTGGTGAGCAAAGTTAGCTCCGTAACTTGCTTATTGGCGAGCAAAGTCATCTCGCTAAGATTACTTGGCGAGCAAAATCAGCTCGGCAAAGAATTTCAAAGTTGGTGAGCAAAGTCAGCTCAGCAACTTGCTTCTTGCCGAGCAAAGTCTGATCGACAAATCATCTCAGCAAGATTTCTAAAGTGGGCAAGCAAAATCAACTCGGCAACTTATATCTTGGCAAGAAAAATCAACTCGGCGAGACTTTTTGGCGAGTAAAATCAGTTCAGCTCAAAATTCTAAAGGTGATCAAAACCATCAACAAACCTCTTGCCGAGCAAAATCTGTTTGGCAAGGAATTTCAAAGTTGGTGAGCAAAATCAGCTTGGCAACTTACATCTTGGCGAGCAAAATCAACTCGGCAAGGAATTTCAAAGTTGGTAAGAAAAATCAGCTCGACAACTTATATCTTAGCGAGCAAAATCAACTCGGCAAAACTTCTTGGTGAGAAAAATTAGCTCGGCAAGGAATTTTAAAGTTAATCAAAACCATCAACAAACTTGGTGTCGAGCAAAATCCACTCGGCAAGGAATTTTAAAGACGGCGAGCAAAGTCAGCTCGACAACTTGCTTCTTGATGAGCAAAATTAGCTTGACAAGGAATTTCAATGTTGGCGAGCAAAGTCAGCTCGACAGCTTGTTTCTTGGTGAGCAAAATTTGCTTGGCAAAGAATTTCAAAGTTGGCGAGCAAAGTCAACTCGACAACTTGCTTCTTGGCCGGCAAAATCAACTTGGTAAGGAATTTCAACATAGGCGAGCAAATTTAGTTCGACAACGTACTTCTTGAGGAGTAAAATCAGCTCGGCAAGGAGTTTCAAAGTTGGCACGCAAAGTCAGTGTAGACACCCCATTTTTAACCGCCCTTAAGACTTGGGCACTACTGATGGTTTACTTGGTGGTGAAAGTTGTACAGTGCAAGGGTTTGATTTCTTCGGCAAGGAGAGAGTCAAATCCCAGCTTCATACTCCTTTTTTGACCAAAACGATCTTGACCCAAAAGATTTTGAGACCTTAAAACCCTCTCTTTCAAAATATTTTTGAAAAAGTTCCTACGATGTTCCGATGCTCGCATTTTGTTAAATGTCGCGCTTTTAGTAAACTGAGCAAGAGCAAAGTGGAAATGAATGAAAGAGAGATGAACTCTTTTGAAAAATCTTTCAAAACACCTTGTTTAGGGGTTTGGAGTTAAATAAAAAAAGAGGAGAGGAGAGAAGAAAGCAAGTTGGGGAAGAAGTTGGGCATGAATTGTTAAGAGAAAGTCGAGTAGCCCTCGCTAAATCATGCCTTTCCATTTTTATACTTGGATTTAAGCTATGAGGCCACCACCGTTGGAAACAAAACTTTCGGGGCTTCATTTTTCACTCAAGAATCTCCTAAAGCCAAGTCCGGATGGGAGAGATATGGTTGGTTGAAATTAGGCATCAATCCGATTGAGCTGGAAATGAGAAGTCTTCACTAAAAGAGTGATATCTCTTAGCACACTTGGAATTTTGAGGTGAGGTTTCCACCATTGGAAATATTACTTCCGGGGATTCATTCTA